TTTGAAAGGCTGAGAGAAAGAGAGAGAGAAAGAGAGAGAGAAAAATAGAAATAGATATTGACGGAGAGAAGGAATTCTCTCATTTTCTGATTCACTCTAAAAGTTGCAGAGCCAGGCTGAAGCCAGGAGCCAGATACTCCTCCAAGATCTCCCATGTGGGTGGCAGGGACCCAAATACTTAAGCCATCACTTGCCAGCTCCCAGGATGCACATTAGCAAGAACCTAGACTTGGGAGCACTCAGGCACTCCAATATGGACTGTGAGTGTCCCAAGATCTGTCTTAATCATTATGCCAAACACTCACCCCTCAACTAGAATTTAAATAATAAAATTACAATAGAATAGAGCTGGCGCCACAGCTCAATAGGCTAATCCTCCGCCTTGCGGCACCGGCACACTAGGTTCTAGTCCCGGTCAGGGCGCCGGATCCTGTCCCGGTTGCCCCTCTTCCTGGCCAGCTCTCTGCTATGGCCCGGGAGTACAGTGGAGGATGGCCCAAGTGCTTGGGCCCTGCACCCACATGGGAGACCAGGAGAAGCACCTGGCTCTCGGCTTCGGATCAGCATGATGCGCCGGCTGCAGCGCGCTGGCCGCGGCGGCCATTGGAGGGTGAACCAATGGCAAAAGGAAGACCTTTCTCTCTGTCTCTCTCTCTCTCACTGTCCACTCTGCAAGTCCAAAAAAAAAAAAAAAATTACAATAGAATAAAGTAGGGAAGGAGTATTTTATGTTTAGCCAGTAACACTGAGAGATGGGTGGCAATGAAAGCAAATTAACCAGAAGCAAGATACAAAGCAGATGAGATCACCACAATTAAAGAAACTGAAGACTGTAAACACGGGGCAAGGATCTTAGCAGTGCTGTTCAATGGAGACCACCAAACAGGAGCACAGCATGTGATCACCAGTATTTCAGGAGACAGATAACAAGTTGGGTCACCACACACAACTTAGTAGACTATACGTAGTTTTACATGAACGACACCTCATGAAGTTGTATGAACTACATGTTCAAAAGTGCTCAATGACCCTGCCAGTTTCAGAGAGGCCAGTGTTTACCTCTGTGGGGGTATGGCTTGGCAAAAGGAAACTCACTGATGAGGAAATGGGATAAGGTGAAAAGCTCAAGTGTTTCAGAAGACTGAAATCATTTGTAAAGTTTAATGTCATGAAATAACAAGGCAGAGACACAGATCCTGGTACAAAGCAAACAACTCTACCACTGAGAAGACAGATCACAGGAAAAGTGAGTAAAGTCTGAGTGATCCAAATACCAAGATTAGTGTGATCCTGAGTGATTTATAAATAAGATTTATTTTAAAAAAAAATTATTTATTTTGAAAGGCAGAGTTACAGAGAGAAAGAGAGGAAGAGACAGAGAAAGACCTCTTCCATCTGCTGGTTCACTGCCCGAATAGCTGTCAGGGCCGGGCCAGGCCAAAGCCAGAAGCCAGGAACTTCAGCTGGGTCTCCTACGTGGGTGGCAGGGGCCTAAGTTCTTGGACCATCTCTGCTCTTTCCCAGGAGCATTAGCAGGCAGCTGGATTGAAAGTGGAGCAGCCAGAACATTAACCAGTGCCCACATGAGAAGCCAGAGTAGCAGGTGGTGGCTTAACCTGGTACACCACAATGCTGACTCTCTACATAAGATCTTACATGTTCTCTGCTTAACAGGGTTGACGCCAGAGTCTCACATCACCACACCCCCAAGCAATCTACTGATGGGGTTTAATTGGTAATCATTGGATCACTTAATAAAATGTTTAAACTTCAAAAAATAAAAAGCATATTTTCTGAGTACCAAATGTCCTAACTGCAAATTCATTTTTCTTTTGGGGTATGTGTGGGGGAAGGGATATGGCCCAAAAGTGTGATTTTAGCTACAGCATATCCACTGACTAGAGAACATGTTTGGTAGAGATACTAGCTAATGTTGTGTACCACACTGCAGGCTCTGCGATATATACTTCACTTAAATTATCACATTTAATCATCACAAAAATGCTAAATGTAGTACATATTGAGAATGACAGCTAACATTTATTGAATGCTTACTGCTATGGTTTGGATGTGACTAATCACTGAAGGATTTATGTGCTGAAAGTTTGTTTCTCCATGTGGTACTCTTGTGGGGGTGGAAACTTCAAGGGTTGAAGCTTAGTAGGAACTGGTTAGGACACTGAGGTGTTGTTCTCAGAAGGGATTAAGGTAGCTCTTGTTGGGCCTCAGTTCTGATGAGACATTGCTTATATAACAATGATATGATAACTGATTCCTCCCTGGCTTCCTGTCTTGTCATGTAATTTCTCCCTCCTACGCATGTCCGCACCAATTGCAGAAGTACAATCATGCCAATTGCAGAAGGAGTGAAAAGGTACCTTTTTCAATGAATCAAAGCAAAGGAGTGAAAAGGTACATGATGCCATGCACCTCGCTGTGACCCAGCAGGGCAGCCTCAGAAGTAAGCACATGCTGGTGTCATAATCTTGAACCCACAGAACTGTGAGCTGAATAAGCCTCTTCACTACATGTTACTCAGCCTTAGATATTTTGTTATAGTAATAAAACATGGACTAATAACATTAAGGACAAGACACAGTGCAAAGCACTTGATATATAGTATTACCTTAATCTTTATGACAGTCCTATGAGACATGACTTCTTACTACCCAAGGGTTCAGGGACTTTCTCTCCTAAGGTCACATTCAAGTCTTATAGTCTAACCCCAAAGCCCATCAAAACCCAGGCACTTAACTACTGCTTTTCACTCCTTCTGCAATTGGCATGCATGAGCTGAAAAATATTTTTGATATGACTGATGGAATTTCATCCAGTATTATTTAATGAATTAAGAAGAGCAGCAATACCTGGAAGCAAAGATATAATTAAAAAAAATTCTATACAAGTCTTATTCCCTATAATAGGCATTATTTTTAAAAATTTTAATGGACTGATAGTATCAGGTATGAAAAATTGCTGAAAAAAAACTATGCAATTTTTACAATAGAAAATACTACTGTAAAACAAACAAATCCCAAATAAAATACAGTAAAATGGAAGTAAATATGTTAGGGTGAACCATATTCTCTGTCTGCCTATGGTTTAGAAATACAAACCAAATGTACTTCAAGAAAATTAAGTTTGTGGAAATTCTGCAACTTAATATAGACAAGTGTTTAGTTTAATTTTGGTTGAAAAAGCTTCTAGATTTATACCTAAAAAAAAAAAAATGACTCTTTGTAAGTCTTGTAAGAGACCATATTACTAAATCTGAGGAATAACTCATGATCTAGAGAGGTTATTAACATACAAATTTAATAATACCTTCCATGATCTATGGGTTCTTAATTTATATTCCATGTTAATTTTGAGATTTAAAGAATTACTGTATTGCTTACTATTTCATGTCCAAATTTATTATAGGAGGGAAAGTAGGAAAGGTAGAGGAGGACAAACAGATTTATTTTGGAGAGAAACATGAATCAAAGCAAAGGCCAGTAAGTACAAAGAGCCCACCTTGGCTGAGTCCTGGTCCAGTGGTTCTCACCATTCTGACCTACTTCTTCCACAGAAGAAAGTGACTGAATTCTATCATGTGACTTAAGAAATCACCCAACTAAAATCTTTCAATTCACTGATAGCAAAAATGGCCCAAATTCACATAGTTACTGGCAGCATAGCCAGAATGGGAAGAGGGCTTCCTGATCATAAGTAGTCTCTCAGGGAACAATTATGTTCATGAGGCAGACATATTCATTGGTGCACAAATTACTAAGACTTTTATAAAGAGAATATCTAATTTGTAAATGGATTGATTCATTTATAAGCACCAATTCTTCATTTTAATAACATTGTAGTGGCAGAAATAAATACTTTTGCTTTCAAAAACAAATATACTTAAACGAATTTCAATTAATACTAACTTTAACAGCTTTCATTCAATATGTAAAGTGATGGTTTAATTTATATTAAAAATAAGAAAATTAAAGACTAACTCAAGAAAAATAAATTATATGAGATGATTAACATTAATAATCAGGCAAATAAAAACCAAAATGAGATCATTATATGCCCACTAAAATTAAAAAGACTCACAATATCAAGTATTGGCAAGAATACAGAGTAACAGGAACTCACATCCATTACTTTGAAAAACTGTTACTAAAGTAAAACATATTATCTGATAACTCAATAATTCAACCTTGTATTTATATAACCCAACAGAAATGAGTATCCATATTCAACAAAAGTCAAGCACAACAATGTTCATAACAGGTTTACTCATAGTAGCCAAAAATATAAGCAACTTAAATGTCCATTGAAAATAAAATAAAAAGGATATAATTGTTATTTTTATCCCTTGTTTAGACTCCTACAGACCTGTGATCTTCCCACTTTTACTTGTTGAAAATTATGATTAGTGGTGAATTAAGCCTGTGAATACAGATTGGATTAAAATTATGGCTTTGCAAAAACTGATGAAGATAAGAGAGGGTGGGAGGAGAACTGGGGAGAGCAGGGAGTGAGAGAAGTGTGGTTGTTTTCTTGTACCTGTACCTACAGAATGTAAAATCTGTTCTCTTTATAGTGGTAAAATTTAAAAAAAAAAAACAGAAAATAAGATAAAGTGTGGTACCTTCATAAAATACTATACTATTTAGTAAGGAAAAAGAATAAACTGCTACACAAAACAACATGAATCAATTTCACCAAATTAAGTTTGAGCCAAAGAAGCCAGACATGAAAGAGTACCTATATGAGTACCTATAAACCTATATGTGCAGAAAAAGACAAAATATTATGGTGCTAGAAGTTACATAATGGTCATCTTGGGGAGGGGGAGTGATTTATCGGGAGAGGCAAAAGGTAGCCTTTTAGGATGTTGGAAATGTTCCATATCTTGATCTGGGTGATGGGTATAATTTATACACATACATGTAAATTTCTCAAATTGTACACTTAAGATCTGGTGGTCTTTGCTGTATTTAAGCTAACCTTACCTCCAAGGCTCTCTTCTGCTCAGCTTTATTTCTGTCAGATTCATCCATATTGTTTCATGCAGCAGTTCATTCTTTTTCATTGTTGTAGAGTGTTGTATTATATGAACGTGCCACAGTTATCCTTGAATGTCTAAAACAAATTTTAAAAAGAATTAATTTTATCTGTAGATCCCAAATGAACATTTTCTCTGCTCACTAGATTTTATTTACTAAAATACTAAGAAGCAAAATCTATTTGCATACTTGTCTTGCTCATTTTTAACGAACTGCTAGGCTGCATTTCTTAGATGCCAAAAAAGTCTACAGCACTGAAGTCAATGATAGACAGTAGTTTTTCTCAGGAAGAGCACCGCAGAGTATCAAAATATCTACTTAAAATTATTTTCCTTTATCAATAAAATAACTAGAGGACTGGTCTACAGTCATTGAGCCATGTAAACATGTTTTGTGAATGAAGAATTTTGTGAATGAAGAAAAGTGGCAGCAGGTAGGGGAATGAGGCTAACTCTCATAATCTGATGGAAATGAAGACAGCTATAAAATTAACTTCAGACTCTTCATGTATATCTGCCAACACTCTGGAGTCTTTAGTAACTGCCTGGCACCCTGCTGAGCCCTTTTCACTGTGGAGGATGGTACTATCATCTCTATCTCAAAGAGACAACTGCGGGTGAGAAAAGGAAAACACTACTGAATAGAAAAGCTTGGATTAAGAACCAAAATCCAAATTCTCAACCATTATGCAAACAACCTTCTGCCCATTTCTTACCTTCAAGGAATTTATAATTTATTACCTTTGGAAGATGTATATTCATTCATTCAACATACATTTATTGAGCAAGTATGCCAAGCACTGTTTGAGGTGTATGTTTCACACTAGTAAACAACATGGACAAAAACAATATTGCATTTATGGTGTTTATATACTACTAGGACATGCACAATAAAAATAAAAAAGCCAGTTACAGCCTTCTGTTAGAATGTGAAGAGTGCTGTGGTGGGAAATGAACAGAAAAGTGATTGGAAATACCAGCTGCAGCTTTACACATAGCATAAGTCTCGTTGGGGAAAAGAATTTTGGGCAAAGTCTTCAAGGAAGTACAGGCAGAGCCACAAAGATTTTTCTGAAAGGGTTGAGGGTAGGGAGAAAGACTGTGGATGATGAGGTCAGAGAATCTCGGGAGTGGAGTAATGAATGAGTGGGTACTGCAAGGGGGGCATTTATGGTTAACACAGAGCCTGGCAGGCCACTTTTCAGAACTTTGGTTATTGAGGGATAAAGAAAGCACTCCCCCATCCCACCAAATCCTGGCTAATTTAGATGTGGTTACCTAAATAAAACTTAAAGGGACACCATGTAGTTTTATATGCACAGAAAAGGCAAGATTGTATATCCCTGATAAGTACCTTTAAGCAACTTACTTTGGAGGAAGAACTGCCAAGTATAAGAATGGGTTAGAAACAAGTAACAGATTATACATATACATGGACACACAAACACACATACTCAGAAGTACATAAGGGAACATCCTGGGGAATTACTTTGCAAAAAACATAGGGCTCCAGGTGACTTCCTTCCACAAACTTACTCTTGTAATCTATTAGGTTAGGCTTAATGACAACAACAAAAATTTTTATTTTTTACAAAAAATAACTCCAGATTTTTAAAAATCATGTATGCATTTCCACTACTGTATAATGTAAGATGTGAAATGAGTAAATAAGAGCAATGAATATGGAAAAAGTGACTTTTTCCAAAGTACATTTTTTTTCTTTAGGAAATATAGTTCCTTTTGCTAAAGCAATGCTATCTTTAATTATCACTTCTTTGTGAATTGTTAGAAAATAATGACTATCAATCAATTCAGGGTCTCTAAATTCTATGAATATTAATAAAGATTTCCTTTAACAAAGGCAATCTCTGGGAACATTAGGTTAAAAGGCCAGCCTCACAGTAGAGATAATATTCTCTATTCATAATAAGGTCAGATGGAGTTTAGTTAGTCCCTCGATGTCTTCTCTTCAACAACTAGCTCAAATAGGAAAACTGAAGTATAACTTCTTTTACTCGTAAAGTAATTACAATTAGTCCCTAAAGCAAAGCACTCCCTCAACTATGTTGTTACCACTTCAAAATAAAAGTAGCACATGATGCGTTTATAACAAAATGGAAAATGCATTAGCACTGACTTGTGTGACCACCTGCATCTCTCTCTGATCTTTGATTACTGCCTCAAAGTGTGAGAAACAAAGAAGCACTTTTGATAGGCCACTGAAAATGAGTTATTGTCAAATGTTATAAAAACATCTTCCAGAAAATTCATAAACATCCACCCTCAGGAATGATTTGGGATTGTTCTACCTGAAGGCAATAATAAAAAGTAGAAAACCACTCAGGCCTCCTTTATCCTTGTTATTCTTTAAAAATAGCTTCTCTATCACTCCCTCCCTGCACCTGGCCATCATTATTCTTTCTAACCATCCTTTTCCTCTATTACAGGTTTCAAACTTGCTATGTCATTATAAGCAAACACACATTCTAATTGCTTTCATTATCTTAAAATAATGCTGCAATGTTTGTTAAAAACTAACCAGAAAATGTTTTAAAGTAAAAATTTCAAAGCCCCGCATATGTTAAGTGAAGAAATAACCGAATCAGCTCTATACTTAGGTACATTTGTTAATCTGCTAACTGGGGAAACAGATTATCTTTCAAGCAAAATACAGTCAGATGAGTGTGAAGTGATGTTTACAACTTTCTTGGAAATGCATCAAAAGATGAGCTGATAACTGGGTATATGGATAAATGTGTAATAAAACACATACAGCAAATTGTTAAGTTTAGAACCTAGAAAGGAGGTGGCTAAATGGATGCTTACGGTAAAATTATTTCAACTTTCCTATACTTTAAAATTTTCCTAATAAACTGTTAAAATAGCTATAATGCTTTATTTATCTACCTCTAGCAAAGTCCAAAGAATTCAAACTTCTATTATGGAATGAAGGCAGATGAAGTTCATATGTTTATTAAGAATTCAACAGCGAAAATAAGTTCTGATTTTGAAGAAAAGTGAAATTTCTTCTGTATCTAAAAACACAATGTTTCAATTCCTTGCCTACATACTTATTAGTTCATTTTCAAAATAGATTTATTGTCTGAAGGGAGATTAAGCACACTTTCCCTTGGATTACTTAATTATATCTGGCCTTCTGTATTCATGAATTCTGTGCTGATGGAGTCAACCAAGTGCAGATGCAAAATTTTAGTGAAAAAAAATTCCAGAAAATTCCAAAAAGTAAAATCTGAATTTTCCAAGTACCAAATACTACACTGAATCCATGCAAATGAAATATGTGTAGCAGGTATCATAAGTAATCTAGAGATGATTTAAAGTATACCAGAGGATGTGCATAGGTTATGTACCAGTACGGGCACTATGCCATTTTACATAAGGGACTTGAACATCTGTGGATTTTGTTACCTGAGGAGTGTCCTAGAACCAATCACCCCCAGGCAATGAGGGATGACTATAATTCTTTTTGGCAACATCTTTTCTCTCTGAACCTACTTGAAATTATTAAAAGTAAATCTGAAAACAAAAACATGTAAGTATGAAAAGCACATTGGAAAACTTATTTACCTACTCAAGAGTGTGTATACGAAGTATATGTGGTAGGCATCACAAACCCTTCAACAAAAATGACTCTCTAAAGTGGCACAAGCAAAGCATGTTTATGTTTGATATTCTATAGAAAGGAAAAAAAATACTTCACAAGTCAAAGAATTTACTCAACTACTACTGGATATGCAACATTTACAAACGAGATTCGCTGAGTACCTACCATGTGTCAAGCAAGGAGCTAAGCATCAGGGATCAGAGTACAAATAAGCCATAGTCTCAAATAACTTCATGATGTGGATGGTTTGGGGTAAAGAAATGCAAATGGACAGTTACAAAAACATGTTAAGTTGATTTTTAAGTATATGCACAGAGTATTACTGTGATAAAGAAGCAGCATCTGATTTAGTCTAGGAGGTTGAGGATCTCTGGGAAAGCTTTCTGACGTTAATTTTTTTTTATTTTTTTTTTTTTTTTTTTTGACAGGCAGAGTGGACAGTGAGAGAGAGAGACAGAAAGGTCTTCCTTTGCCGTTGGTTCACTCTCCAATCCGGCGTGCTGCGGCTGGCGCACCGCGCTGATCCAAAGGCAGGAGCCAGGTACTTATCCTGGTCTCCCATGGGGTGCAGGGCCCAAGCACTTGGGCCATCCTCCACTGTACTCCCTGGCCACAGCAGAGAGCTGGCCAGGAAGAGGGGCAACCGGGACAGAATCCGGTACCCCGACCAGGACTAGAACCTGGTGTGCCGGCGCTGCAAGGCGGAGGATTAGCCTAGTGAGCCGTGGCGCTGGCTTTTTTTTTTTTTTCTGATGTTAATCTTAAAAGATGGGCACTTGGGGCCGGCATTGGGCTGTGGCTAGCAGCATCCCATATGGGCGCTGGTTCTAGTCCTGGCCGCACCTCTTCTGATCTGGCTCTCTGCTGTGGTCTGGAAAAGCAGTAGAAGATGGCCCAAGTCCTTGGTCCCCTGCACCTACATGGGAGATCCGTAAGACGCTCCTGGCTCCTGGCTTTGGATAGGCGCAGCTCCGGCTGTTGTGGCCATCTGGGGAGTAAGCCAGCAATGGAAGACCTCTCTCTCTGCCTCTACCTCTCTCTGTGACTCTGTCTTTCAAATGAAAGACAAACCTATTTTTTTTTTTTTAAAAAAAAAAAGGTGGCCACAGGTGATACCAGGTTGGAGAGATTGGGGGACAATATTAATATTCCAGGCTGAGGTGACGGCAGAGGCACAGAATGCTAAGCAGCTCAGTAGTTTGGGGGAGAAAGCTCAAGGGATAGAGTGGACAGTGAGGTGGCTAAGGAGGTCAGCCATGGTCATATCAAGGATGATGTGGGATTTATTTAGGAGTCTGGACTTCCTCTTGTCCTCAACTGGATTTTCAGACTGGGGGCTAACACTGGGGCCCACACTGTGGCACAATGGGTTAAGCAGCCACTTGAAATGTCAGCATCCCATATGGGCACTAGTTTGAGTCCTAGCTGCTCAACTCCTGATCTAGCTCCCTGGTAAGGCACCTAGGAAAGCAGCAGAGGATGGCCCAAGTGCTTGGGCCTCTGGCCCCATGTAGGAGACCCAGATGGAGCTCTGGGCTTCTGGCTTTGACCTGGCCTAGTTCTAACCATCACAACCATTTGAGGAGTGAACCAGTAGGTAGAAGATCTCTTTCTCCTTGTCTCTCCCTAATTCTGCCTGTCAAAAAATAATCTTAAAAGATAGAAAGAGAGGTGGGAGAGAGAGACAGAGAGAAACCCTTACATATCGTGTCTTGGCTAGAACTCCCTGACCCTTCAGAGCTGGAAGAAATGTGAGGGAAATATGACACGACAGGATTAGGACCTGAACTAAGACACTGATAATCTGGGTATGGGGGTGACTCCCAAGTGTTTGCCTTGGGTGAACTATACAAGCCACACCCCTAACCCAAAGTAGCTAATACAGAAAAAAAATAAAAAGCCAAGTAAAAAATATGATGATGGATTCAGCCTTGGATGTGTCAAACTTGATATGACTCTGGGTTATCTAGGTGATTTCCAGCTGCACATAAACATACAAGACTGAGGGGAAGAGGTCTGAATGGGAAGTGCAAATTTGGGGCAGCAAAATATCAGAGCTATCTGGAATTACGCGAGTGGACAGCCAATTTTTCTTGGGTTTTGTTTTCATTTTGATCATTTCAACAGGTGGCAGAGATAGTTCATTGTGGTTTAAATTTTTTATCCCTTAATGTTAAATCATACCTAGCATCTTTTTAAATGCTTAGTTGCTATTTGTGCATCTTCATTGGTGAAAATTTATTTAAATGCTTTGCCCATTTTTTAAAAAAAGTGCTGTTCTATTATTATTGCATTTTAAGTATTCAGCTATGCATTTCAAGTACTTTCTCTTAGTGTTATGCTTCATAGGGTCTTTCGAAGAGCTTAAATTTTTATTATCTTGAAATCTAATTTATTAATTTTTTTTCTACTGTGTGCTTCCAGTAACTTACTTCAGAAATATTTACCTGAATAAGGCCACAAACGGGTTTCTGCCAGTATAGTTTTAGGTTTTCTATTTATGTCTATGATCCACTTTGAGATGTGTTGTGCTTGAAGTTCTGTTTTGTTTTTTGCACACATGCTGTGAAGCATAGAAAGTATAATATCAGACAGAAGCAGGCAAGGAGAACGTACAGAATGAGAAGTGAAAAGGGTGGGCGAAACCAGAGAAAAAGAAAAATGTCAAAGCTTAATCAAGCAGTTTTGCAAGCGCTGAAGCCTTGTCAGAGGAACACCAGGCAAGTTCTGAATCGTCACCTCTGTGTACTCACAAGTAGTGGAAATGATCAACTCGGATGAGGTCACCAGTGACCTTAGGGCCATTTCGTGAAACAAACCTTCACGATATGGGAACTACAATCGAACCACTCACTTTAAAAACAACTGCCCCCGAAGAGACAACTTGGGGCGACGGGTGAAATCCCTGAGCGCTCTTAAAGGTCACTTATCTAGCGTTCGCACTGACGGTATGGGATTCTCGATACACCACTGAGGTGGATCCTTGGGGGCATTCCGGCCCTAGGTCTTGGGGAGAAACCCAAGCAGTCACCGTCCCGCTGGGAAATCAGAACCGCATTCACTGCCGGGTCAGCCAATCCGACGCCTCCGTCCAAATGAGAAGGCGAGGATTAAAATCTGTGCTCTAGGGAAAACCCGGGGCAAATCAGGGAAATCTCTTCTACAGCCCAGCCGCTTTCGTGTGTCTGCTAGAGCGCAGGCTCCCGGCACGGGGTCCCCACTCACCGTCCCCGACGCAAAGCAATACTGCACTTACCCAGGACCAGAACAGGGATGTTCAAGCCACTGGCTAGAGGAGTGGGAGCACATCCGGCCCTTTCCCAGAGGCCGTGCTGGGGGACCAACCGCTCTCATCCCCTCCCCAGCAGCCGGCGGGGCATTGGTAGCCGAGCCGGGCTGCGGAACACCCGCCCAGAGCCCCGCTCGCTCGGCCGTCCTCCAACTGGTCGTAAAGTGTGGTAAAGGCGCCGGCGCTTTGCGGCACCGTAGGTGAGGCCGGCGGCGTGGGTCTTCTCTCTACGGATCTGTGGCTTCGGCGGCTGCTGGTGCGAAGCGGCTGCAGTTAAAGCTTTGGGAAGACAGGGAACCGGCGAAGGTTGTTTCAGCGGGTATTTGGCTGCTCGTAGGGTTGTTTACAACACTTGTTCCAAACCGCTCTCGTGACCTGCCACTTCTCTTGTGCCCCTTTGGTTTCCATCCCTCGGTATAGCTGACGTTGTTTTTCTTGTTCACTTCATCTTACAGTTTTGGAGTTCGAAATGCTTTACCTGATCGGCTTGGGGCTGGGAGATGCCAAGGACATTACAGTCAAAGGCCTGGAAGTTGTAAGACGCTGCAGCCGAGTGTATCTGGAAGGCTACACCTCAGTCCTGACTGTAGGGAAGGAAGCCCTGGTAGGTGATCAAGGTTCCCCAGCTTTCTGGGGAGAAAGCTAGCTAAGCACACGTTAAGCCAAACAAAATGTTCCGATCTGCTTGCTTAGACCCTTCGAAACACACTCCCCTTGCATTAAGGATCTGAGGAGTAGGAGAAGGGCAGCCATACACCCAAACTAGTGACTTGGAAAATTAAAGGGTGGTCTTTGTTCTGCTTTACAAGTCTAATTACGTGGCTTCCTCGAGTGAATGGGAAAGGAAAGTTATTTTACACTCCTGGGGATAGTTATCACAATCCCTTATTTCATGAGATGGCCAAGAAATCCTTTCTGAGTTGAGAGCTAATGAGGTGCGGACACAGCCTTAATGAGTTGGTTATGTATTCAGAACCCAAGCTGAAAGCTTTGCCCTTTGAAGTATTTCCCTGGGGAATGATGATTGCCTCCATCATATCCAGAGAGATCTTACTGTTAAATAGACCTCTTCCAATATGGCTTATATTCACACATGTATACACTGAGTGAGCCTGGGACTGAGTAACCAGAGGGTTTGTTAGTGTGTTGTACATTTGACTGGCCTCATTAAGGGCTCAGTAAATTTGGGAAGAAGGATCAAGTTCGGGTTCATTGTCGAACACCAGGTAGAATGTAGATTAAGATGAAAAGATTAGTGGACATATTACAGAAGGAGAGAGCAGATTTTTAAAATTGTCTTTATGGTGTGTTCCAAATGAAATAGAGACCTAGAGAATTTCAGGTCTCTGTCCTCTCATATTTACAGCCCAAAGAATTCTGAAGGTCTTAGTTTAAAATATTGAAGACAGAATTAAGGACTCCTGCTTGAAGTGGCCACGCGAGTAAATAAAAATGTATCTAACAGCTAGGTTTGATTTGTTGGCTCCCATTTTTGCCACTCTTAGGATAGAACCAAAATATCTAACCTTAAGATGATGGAAATATGCCTTCCTAATCAGGGGTTAGAGAAAACTAGAATTTCCTTTTTTAAAAAGCTGTCTAAGAGAACAGAGACAACACATCAGCAGTTATATATAGAAAGGTGTCTACACATGGCATAAAGGGAAGTTTGGACCTAGTTTGTCTTGCCTTGCTACATGTTAATGTGACCTTAGACCCTGGACAAATGCTTCAACTTTAGTGTTATTACTTTGTAGTTGTCAACACATTTCCAAACAGCTCTGAACTTAAGTTTCTTTTGTTAAATGGACTTAAGCCACTGGACAATTACATAGGGTTTTAATAAGATAATATACAAGGATACCTCAAAAAGTTTGTGGAAAATGGAATTAATAGATGTTTATTTTGGTTTTATAACTTAAAAAAATCTATGCATGAATTTTTCATAGCGTGCATTTTCTATGAAATTTTTGAAGACACCTCAAATACAAGGATTTAAAATTTTTATTTTTTGGGGCCAGCACCGTGGCTCACTTGGTTAATCCTCCGCCTGTGACACCTGCATCCCATATGGGCACTGGGTCCTAGTCCTGGTTGCTCCTATTCCAGTCCAGCTCTCTGCTGTGGCCCGGGAGGGCAGTGGAGGATGGCCCAAGTGCTTGGGCCCTGCACCCGATTGGGAGACCAGGAGGAAGCACCCGGTTCCTGGCTTCGGATCAGCGCAGCACCATCCATGGCAGCCATTTGGGGGGGTGAACCAATGGAAGGAAGACCTTTCTCCCTCCCTCTCTCTCTCTCTCTCTCACTCTCACTCTCTAACTCTACCTGTCAAAAAAAAATTATTTTTGGTTTTTCATTTTATTTGAAAAGCAGAGAGAGAAGAAAGGAAAGGATTTACTGTTATTTTTGTTTTCTGTTGGTCTTGTAGTTCTTTTAGAAATTTTGTTTTGTTTTGTTTTTTCATTTTATTTGAAAGGTAGAGGGAGAGAAGAGATGAGAAGAGATCTAACATCCTCTGATGCATTTCCCAAATACCCACCTCAACCAGTGCTGGGCCAGGCCAAAGTTAAGAGCTCGAAGTTCCATCCAGGTCTCCCATGTAGGTGGCAGGGACCCAGGTACTTAATCCATCATCTGCAGCCTCGCAGTGTTTGAATTAGCCCAAAGCTGGATCAGAAACAGCATGGTCAGGACTAGGCACTCCAATATGGGGACATCTCAATTTGTAACCTAACTGCTGAGCCAAATGCCAGATTCTGATTTCCATGAACCTTTTGATGTGCTCAACTATAGGAGAATGCTTTGTAAATTTTAAATGCTAGCTAAATTTAACTTTAGTTGCTGTGATATTCAAAAGTTGATTTTCCCCACAAAAAACATACTGTAGCTCTGTTACTGCAGAGTCAAGATCTGAGGAAGCACCCAACCTCACTTATAGCTAAGGTCTATGTCCTTTGTTAAGATGCTAGAGTATCTGTTCCTCCAGAATAATAAGTACTAACATTTATAGGACATTTACTATGTACTATTTTTTCAAAGATTTATTTATTTATTTGAAAGAGTTACAGAGAGAGAGAGAGGTCTTCCATCTGCTGGTTCACTCCCCAATTGGCTGTTACGGCCGGAGTTGCGCGAATCCGAAGACAGGAGCCAGGAGCTTCTTCTGGGTCTCCCACATGGGTGCAGGGGCCCAAGAAGTTGGGCCATCATCCACTGCTGTCCCAGGCCATAGCAGAGAGTTGGATCGGAAGTAGAGCAGCCAGGACTAGAACCGACGCCCATATGGGATGCTGGCACTGCAGGCAGCAGTTTTACCTGCTACACCACAGCGCCGGCCCCTACTATGTACCAGTTTTTAAGTGCTATTGAAATGCTTGTGAAAGAGAAGATCACTTTAGGCTCTGGAGGACAGGAAATATTATAGACTGGATTGAATTTGAACCATGTTTTTATTTTTTTGAAAGGCAGAGTTGGGGGAGGGGGGATAAAGATATCTTCCATCAGCTGATTCACTCCTAAAGTGTCTGAAACAACTGGGACTGGACCAGGCTGAACCCATGAGTCTGGCGCTGCATCTGAGTCAACAGCTGTGACTGCAGCTGCCACTCATATGGAATGCTGGCATCGTGGGCAAAGGCTGACCATTAGTGTTTACAGGCCCTATCCTCTTATGTGTTTCTAAATACTATTTGAGCCTCTACTATGCTGTTTTATTTTTTGACTAGGTTATCCATTAAATAGTTTGAAATTCAAAAGTTCCAAAAGGTATTAAAATCAAAAGTTTTCCACCTTAATTTCCCTGCCTGGAAACAGTCCAAGAAGTATTAGCTAATACTAATTTGCTGTATAGTCTTCCAGAAATACCTGAAAATAGTTTTACATTTTAAAATTACTTGAAATATATAAGAACTACCAACTTCAAGAATAAATTTTGAATTTTTTCTTCATTTTCATGAATGGAGAAGATTAAGGCTAAGATTGTATTAAACGTGGCTAAGCAGCCTTTGGATAATGTATAAAGTAAATGTAAAATTGTCTGTTAAATGCTACTACTTTTTTTTTTTTTTCTGCTTTGATTTTCCTTCCCTTATCCCTAACTTTGCTGGATGCTACTATAGTACATAAAGTGATAGTTAACTCCTAATTAGATCAGGTTTGCTCCTTGAGGGCAGAAGCCATTTAAGTCTCTTTCTCCACCAGAAATAGAGTTCAGCATGGAAGATGTGCCCAAGATATTTTATGAGTGAGTGAGTGGGCAAATACAAGGAATTAGGTAAATTAGGAAATAATGTAACACTAGTCACTTGTTGCTTTTACTATCTCTTTCCTTTTTAAATGTTATTTTTTCAAAATGATCATCCATTTGATTTTATTAAGGTATTTGTGCATATGTGTAAACATCCTATTTTATCAGCTACACATTTAGATGGTCCTTAGGTTAAGTGATAAATTTAATAAGGAATAATAAATGATAGAAATCTTAAGAGTGGGGATTTTTGTTAAATCACTTGTAAATTTTGGGATGGGGTTGTCATTAGCATTAAATTACTATAATGTGACTTCTTGTTCTTTCAGAAATGTTAGAAATTGGGACAGGTATTTGGTACAGGGGTTAAATTGTTGCTTGAGACCTCTGAGTCCCAGCTATTCTGCTTCTGAGCCAGCTTCCTGCCAGTGTGTATCCTGGGAAGCAGCAGAAGATGGCTCAAGTACATGGATCCCTGCCACCTACATGGGAGACCCAGATTAAATCCTGGGCTTGCTTTGGCCTGGCCCAGTCCAGCCCCGACTGTTGCTGGTATTTGGGGAATGAAACAGTGAATGGAAGACTTCTCTCTGCCAGTCTCTCTCTGTCTCTCTTCTTTCAAATAAAATGAAAATAAGTAAATTAATTAATTTAAAATTAGAAATCAGAAAAGGCCATTCTCTTTAGTTCCTTTAATCATGAATGTTTTCTTAGGTATGTGAATATAAATTTTCTGGGTTGCTAAAATCAAAGTAAAACATTAAATTAAAATTAAGAAAAAAGTACACACTAAAAGTGAAAATAAAGAGCATTCTTCATGTATGAAAATGTCATTGGGGACTTGTGGCACATATCTCAGAGGTCATATAAAAAAGGAAAGGATCTGAGGCTGGCATCGTGGCCTAGCCTAGTAGGCTAAGCTTCCACCTGCAATACCAGCATCCCACCAGTCCTCCAGTTCAAGACTTGGCTGCTCCACTTCTGAACCAACTCCTTGCTAATGTGCCTGGGATAGCAATGGAAGATGGCCCAAATCCTTGGGTCCCTACACCCACATGGGAGACCTGGCAGAAGCTTCAGGCTTCTGGCTTTGGCCTAGCCTCGTCCTGGCTATTTTGGCCATTTGCGGAGTGAATCAGCGCTAGACTTCTGTCTCTCTCTCACTAACTAGACCCCTTCCCCATTTTCTCTGTAACTCTGCCTTTCAAATAAATAAAAAATAAATCTTAAAAAGAGAACATGAAAATTTTTTCACATTTTGGGAACAAATTCTAGTTAAGTATTAGGAAACAAATTATTAAAGTTAATCATTTGTTCATTTACTCAGTTGTTTGACAATTATTATTGAGATCCAGATACTCTTCCATTATAGCAATCCTTTGAATTTTTAAGGTTATCAGTATGTATGCATCACTGTAATTTATCTGCATCCATTTTTACTGCATTTGAATTATATATTACTCCACAGGAAATCAGTTATACAACTCATGATCTTGCATAATGGCCTGTAACTACTGCTGTGTGACCACTAGCTCACTTTCTCCTGGGTTTGTTCTATAGAGTGAAACTTCACAGGATTGATTCACAAAGCAGTTTGTACAGAAATTTCTTATATATTTAGAATTCAGTTTTTTCCTCCTGCAACACTGCTTTTTTAACAAGAATTAGGGAATAGAGTTTTAAATTAATCTTTCCTGCAATTATATAGGAATATTTACTTGTTCTGTAAACCCCTAATTCTTCATTTTTTATTATTTCTTGTTGATGGGGACTTTTCTTTTAGCCATGATATCATAGATTTTTCCACAGAAAAACCTAAATTACCTTGTATGTTTTTAATCATTGTTTAATGTATTTATTTTGTATTATCATGTTTCTGAAGTAGGGCTTATGCATACATATTCTCTGTTCACCCTACAGTGGTCTTCTAGGACCAAATTTAGGAATAAATTTAAAATGCAAAAAGCCTCAGATGTTAAGAGGTCTGCTTCCTCTTGGGATATTAAGATAGCCCCAAAGACAGAGTATAATTGCAACATGATATAGAGTGCTAGCTCATTGATGGGTTGTATTGAATGATCTGTGTTTGGATGGCTGCCAAGACTCACACCCGTACCAGACAAAGATTATTTTGTGTATGTGTGTTGAAATGGTTACCTGCTATCTCTAATTTTTATATTTGACTTAAACCTGTAGGAAGAATTTTATGAAAGAAAATTGATTGTTGCTGATAGAGAAGCAGTAGAACAAGAAGCTGATAATATTTTAAAGGATGCTGATATCAGTGATGTTGCATTCCTTGTGGTTGGTGATCCATTTGGGTAAGTTATGTGAAGTTTTTAACTTTTTTTATCAGAATTATTCTATTATATTTAAAATTTTTACCTGTCTGTTGCTAGTAAGAGAACCTATTTACCTGAGTAAGCTCAATCTACAATTTTATAGTTTAAAATTTCATTGCCTCTGAAATTAATGAAGAAAATCTGGTTCGTAAAGATACCATCATAGTACCACTTTGTTATCAGGTGTCAACTCTGAAGTCTGTATCAGTTGTGTCTTCTGTTTTCTGGAAAGTCATCAAATGCCTTAACTAAGATGTCATTATTAAATAGTTTATTACATTATCAAAGTCATGGCTGCCATTTGCTTCATGTAATTGTGAGCATCTTTGGTTTCCTTTATCGTGGGCTATTTTTTCCTTTTTAAAATTGTTTAAGAGTTGGCAGTATTGCATCTTCCTTACTTGTCTTGAATTTATTGTTTATCATGCCTCTGATTTCAATTTCTGATATCCATTGGGAGCTCTGTTCTTTCTCGTTACCAAGAAGATGGGCTTCCACTTGTGTAGTCAAGCATCATCAATCTCTAATGTCAAGCCAGACAGAAGAGTTCTTTGTCTACAGCTGGTGACCCAAGATTTATGTCACAGATTTAAGAAACATAAGGACAATTAAATCACTATGCACCCATCACCACGGATGTTTTTCAAGAGAATGGAGTTACATGTGAATGTGTTTGTCAAAAAGGAAAATAATTTATATCAATATGAGATCCCAGACATTATGTATCATTACTATACTTGATTGCAAATGACATTGGATAATCGCACACTGTAAAACACTTAAATAGTTTGTTTTAGCATATGAAATAGTTTTCTATAAACATACAATTTATTTGAAATTAGGAGTATTTGTTATTTTTTAAAGCCATATGATAGTAAAACCAAATGAGGATAATAAAAAATCTTAAAAGAAAATAAGAAAATGCCTTGTAAATCATAAGATTTTATTTTTTTCTTCAAAATACAAAGTTACAGAGAGAGGGAGAGACAGAAAGAGAGGTCTTCCATCCACTGTTTCACTCCCCAAATGGCCACAACAGCCAGGGTAGAGCCAGGTCAGAGCTAGGAACTTCATCCAGGTTTCCTACATGGATGTCAGGGGCCCAAGCTCTTGGGCCATCTTATGCTGTTTTTCTGGGCCATTAACAGGAGCTGGATCGGAAGTGGAACAGCTGGGACATGAACCAATGCCAATATGGAATTCCAGTATTGCACGCTGCAGCTTTACCCATTGTGCCACAACACTGGCCCCTAAATCATAGGATTTTCATATCATATTAACTCCTACATTAAAACCATTTTCTTTTTTTTTGTTTGTTTGTTTTTAAAGATTTATTTTTTATTTATTTTAAAGTCAGAGTTTCAGGGAGAGGAGGAAAGAGAGAGAGGTCTTCTATCCACTGGTTCACACCCCCAAATGGCTATAATGGCAGGGGCTGGGCCAGGCCAAAGCCAGGAGCCTGAAGCTTTTTCCAGGCTTCCCACATAGATGCAGAGGCCCAAATACTGAGTCATGTTCCGCTTCTTTCCCTGGTGCATTATCAGGGAGCTGGATAGGAAGTGGAGCAGCCAGGTCTCCCACTAGAGCACATAAGGGATTCTGGTGTCACAGACATCAGCTTAACCACTATGTCACAATGCTGGCCTGTCTCCATTTTAAAAAGTGTATTTTATATCTGCTGAATCTCAAAAATTGAGGGCTTGTATTTTGTATTATTTCATTTTATATTTTATTTTTCTAATAGTTTTTATTATGTTTTATATGAATTATTCCATAATTTAGAACATTAAAAAATTGGCCTTTCACCATAGATCGTTAGAGAAGCACTGCTGTTGACTTTTGTTTTACAAGTCTTATATATCCTTTCATTCCCTTCTACTGTGGCTGCCATTATTCTACCTAATCTAACTTCATACACCCTACTCCTTTTGCTGTCTGTGTACAAACTCAACTCTTTACCCATAATTTGTTCTAATTCATATTTGTAAAACCATAATTTGTAAACCTCACCTGTGCTTTCAATGACTAATAGCCTGGGCAAAGGAGCGGAAGATGGCCTAACTGTTTGCCCCTGCCACCCTCGTGGGAAATCAGGGAGTGAACAAGTAGATGGAGTGTTCTCTCTCTTTGTAACTCAGACTTTCAAATAAATAAACAAAATCTCTCTCTCTCTCTCCTTTTTTTTTTTAAGATAAGCTTATCTTGATAGAAACAGTTTTTAAATTATGAATAGTTTAATCATAATATATATTTTCCATGAACTTTTTGAGGACTCTTCCTATGTAGCCATAGAAGTCAAGAAGAAACTAATTCAAAGAGGAAAAAGTGGCCCATTTTGGTTGACTGAATGAGGAGATAGAAAAATATGTGAAGCTTTAAAGGCACAACTCATAGTTCGGAGGTGGTGGCTTTATGGAGAGTTTGCTATTTGAAATGCTGCCTCTGCAGAGGGTTCAACAGGTGAGACCGTAGGGTGGACCAGGGGAAGGATAGAAGTTAGAAGATAGAATTCCATGTAAATGAAAAGTCTGAGGTGAAAAGAAAGTGCCTTAATGTAGTAATCGCCTGTTCCGATTGTGTTTTGCAGTATTCTTTCCCTGTTACTGATTATGCCTAATCAGACTGTTTTTCCCAGGTTCTAATTAGTAAAATATAGACTTATTCGTACTCAACTCAGATTCTCTCTCTTTTATTTTTGTTTATGCAAGTGTAAGTGCTTTTTCTTTTTCATATATAAAGTCTCGTGGCAGTCAATTTGTGTTTCTCCGAGACTAGTCATATAAAATCATATTTACTGGACTGCAGTTATTTTCAAGATGGAGGAGTTAGTAAAGAGATGATGAGGCATATATAATTTTAATCGCATCTTGAAGAATTAGAATTTAAGTACATTAAAATAAAAGAAAGGATTGACACATTGGATGTAACAAGGCACTGAAATTCTTCAAGTGTCAAAAAATTACCTTTCTTAATTTTAAGCCACATTCTAATTATTTGAATAAAACATATAAAGAAGGGAAGATAATTCAGGATGCCAAATTTTAAATTATTTTATTTGAAGTATCTTGAAAATTGTGGTAAACTACATACAACATGAAATTTACCATTTTAACCATTTTTGATGTATAATTTAGTGACATTGCATGTGTTCACCTTGATGTACAGCTATCCTTGCTATCCATGTCCAACAATTTTAAGCCCTTTCAGAAGATAGGTAGGAGCTGTAAGTTCTCAGTTTTGCCATGTAATCCAGGTTATTGAAAGAAAATGTAGAAATTAGTCGTATTAAGTAAATGACTAAAGGAAAAAAGCTTACATGAATAAATTTGGCTTAATCATTTGAGAGATAGTAATCTCTAGCATTCTATCCCTAAACCTTCCAGTAAGGAGTTGGTGGATAGAGGTCTTCATTACACAAGCGCTTTCCAATGAAGGGTCTATTTTATTCTGTTTATATGTTATAGCTCTGCTTGGTAATTGTGAGTATATAGTAAATTAACACATAATTTTTATCCTTACTTTCTGTGCCTTTTCCTTGATAGTGCACACATGAAAAATGTACCTTTATTCACTTGTCTCCTTTGCATCCTAATGTAGGCCATTTGATCATTCCTATTCAAGTACTGCATTTGAAGAGTGCAGTAACAGTCCAAGAAATGTCAGCATTATCATTAGCTCTTTTCTCCATCATAAATAAAGCTGCTCTGTACGAATTAATGGATATGATCCCTTTCCCCTCCCACTTTTCCATCTTAGCACTCTTGAATTATTTCCTTATGATAAATTCTCTAATGTAGGTTTTTAGGGTAAAAGTATCAAATGGTATAGACATGGACATTTTCTAGCACCTAAAACTACTGGCAAATTATTTTTTAAAAAAGATAGTACCAATTTATAGTGCTTCCAATTTTCTATGAAAATATCTTTTTCACTTTATTATTGCAAACTTTAGTAAGTTTACAGATCACCAGTCACACCTATGACAGATATGGTAGTACTATATCTGAAACTGATGTTATTATAAAATAAAATTTAAAACAAACATACTAAAGTGTGAACATTGAAACTGATCACCTTTATTTACTGATTCCATTAATCAAGACATTTTTGGATCTGCTCTTTTGAAAATGCCTTTGGAACAATTCCAAGTAACAAGTACTTTATTAAGAGAAGTTTTATGTTTTGTTTTACTGTTTCTGGGCGTGTGTCTCAATCTAGTTTTGGATCCATTTGAATTGCAACACATGCCTCCAAAATGCTAAATTTGTGTGTATATGTCTGTGTGATTCTGGTCATTTTAAGTTAACTTGTGATGAAGACAATTTTAAATCAGTTTTTCTTCTCATGCATTTAAATGACTCACCAAGTAACTAATTTAGTTTTCCTTATTCTTAATGCTCAGTAGTGACATTCTGTTGAAGAGGATATTAAAAATATTCTTTTGTTTATCTCTTGAAGAACTTTAACGCTCAGTTTTCACAATACAATCAAGTTTACATTTAGTTTTCTAATTTATGTCAAAATATGCTAGTTTATGAAAAAAAAAAAGTACATTCTTCAGCTTTTTTCCACCTTCTTTTGCCTATCTTTGAAATGGAGTATTGGGTATTTTTAATGTAAGTATGTTATATATGTACACTTTAATTGCATATTTTAGAAATAAACAAAATCCATGCTATTTTGCTAACTCATAATGTATTTATAAAATGAAAAGCTCTCTACAAAATACACTTTTCACTGGGAAAATAAATAAAACAGACAAATGGATCTACGCAAAGCAAACATGAACTTTGGCAGATTTCAGGGTAGGATATTCCACAACAAGCTTATTTGCCCTTTTCCCCCCCACAGCTGCTTAGCTTCCAAAAAAATATTCTTTAAAACTGGCATTCATACTGCTTTTGAAAAGCTTACTCTCAATCAAATTAATGATTATTTTTCATCCTAATTTTTATTTTTATCTGTGTGGTTAAAAACAGACTTCCCTGGTGGGTATCTGTTAATCTGTATTTGACTGTCTCATGGGGTAAAAGCTCTTGATCTTCCTACTTGGTATGCATTGACCAGTTTGACAGGTTCTGTTTGTTGTAAGGAGTTTCTCAAACATGCTAATGTTGCTTTCCCCAGTAGGGCCTGGAATTTTTATCAAGAGGGAAAAAGGCCCTTAGTAATGCAGTTCCAAATTGATAATGGGGTTATATTTCACAATATTTATATTTATATATGTTTTCTCTATACCCCACTTACCTAGAGTGATGAGATTTATATCATAAAAGGAAAGGCAACAGGCAGAATATGCATACACACACATATATACATGCCAGCTAACTATACAGAGTAACCAGACTGAAAACATTTATAAATAAAATGACTGCTAGACAGAAGTAAGTAAATCCAAGTATGATTCTATAGATAGAATGCTTATATAAAGAATGGAAGACTGACAGGCAATAAAATGTTCTGTTGATTCTGCCTTTTGGTTCAAGATACACAGCAGGAATAAATTGGGTCTATTTGTGCTGTAATTTACTAACTATAGAGCACAGAGCAGTATTTTAGGAATGTAAAGGGGCCCTGAGACCAAAGAGTTTAAGAATTGCTGCTCAGGAGTAAAGTTGCTGAGGTTATATTTCACAGATGTCTTTTGCAAGTATTACCAGGCAAAGAATAGGTAAATGTCCCCTTTCTCAGTAGCTGCTGTAAGAGTGTTGTTGCAGTTCAGCAGTGTGAAAGGCATGTGTAGGTTTATACTCTTTTGCTAAAAAGCCTAGATAAAAGCTTTATGCAGGTGCCTGGCAGAGTTGGAGGACTCAAACATGCAGATGTTGCGTTCTCCAACAACTCAGGAAATATTAGCTTTACTGTTTTAAAAAGCCCACATCATTTATTTTTTCTCACTACAGGGCTACCACACATAGCGATCTTGTTCTGAGAGCAGCTAAGCTGGGAATCCCTTATCGAGTTATTCACAATGCTTCCATAATGAATGCTGTTGGCTGCTGTGGTTTACAGGTAAAGCTGCAAAGTAAATTTTATAATCTAGTGGAATTAAGCAAAATGTTTAGTTTTCTTAGAAATTTTCAGTAAATTTTATTGTATGCCATGAATTATAAAACACACTGTTTGATACTGTACCACTTAGTATGTGCTAAAAATTTTAATGCTAAATTTTTTATATTGTTTTCTTTTATAACTTAGATGTTTTTCCTTTCTTTATTGGAATAGACCATTTAAATAAACTGAGAATGATTTTTATATCTAACTTGTACATTCATAATAAGGAAAATATAAGCTAATTAAATTGTTTAAGTATTTTTAAAAGCTTTTTATAGTCTTCTCAATGAATTAGCATTGTCAAGTTCTGTGCATTCCACACGGTATTGTTTTCTGTGCCATCTAAAATATTGGGATGCTGTAGGTCTTAAAGAGTAATAGTATTAGATTTTTATGCCAGCTTTATAATTATTGATGTATAAAGCAGGTGGTTTTTCACTCCAACTATCTTGATTCTCAGTGGTTAAAACAATGCAATATAACTGTTTCCAAGATTTTCTTCCAAGCTGTTGACATTTGTTTTCCAAATTTGGTGTTTGTATCCTTACATTCAGACATGCATAGTCCATGACAGCTATGACTGCTGCATGAGCAAGAGTGGCTTTAAAACTTCCTTGTGGGGGCCAGCGCCCTGGTGCACTAGATTAATCCTTCGCCTGCGGTGCTGGCATCCCATATAGGCGCTGGTTCTAGTCCCAGTTGCTCCTCTTCCAGTCCAGCTCTCTGCTGTGGCCTGGGAAAGCAATAGAAGATGGCCCAATTCCTTGGGCCCCTGCACCTGCTTGGGAGACCGGGAGGAAGCACCTGGCTCCTGGCTTCAAATCAGCACAGCTCCGGCTCTTGTGGCCACTTGGGGACTGACCCAATGGAAGGATGATCTCTCTGTCTCTCTCACACTGTCTGTAACTCTGCCTGTCAAATAAATAAATCGAGTCTTTTAAAACAAACAAAAAATTCCTTGTGATTGTTAAGACACATTCCTACTTCAGATAGATGAGGGTACTTCAACAAGTTTGTGGAAAAGGATATGAAAAGTTAATTTTGGTGCAAGACTTTTGAAATCTGTGCAAACTTTTTATATAATATACATGTTTATGAACTTTTTGATGGCCACTTGTATTATAATAGGAAAATAATGTGCATTGTAAGATCGGTGAAGTAAGTTTTTTCCCAGCATGTCTTCCTGAAGTGAATCATTCAAAAATGGATATTTACAAAATACATCAGTGTCAGGTCCAGTGCTGTGTATATAGTTGTAGTGGAGAGGAGTCTCTACTTTCCATATTACCTAGCAAGAATAACTCAGGTTAGTTGACTGAGCCAGCCATTTATCTCAATATAGTGTCTTTGGTTGTAAAGACCCAGAGAATAAGTATAAATGTTTCATCTTTCAGTTTTCATCTCTTGCTCTTAGTCATCATATTTCAGTGGGCACTGGGGCAGACATTGTGGCACAGCAGGTTAAGCTGCAGCTTGGGATGCCCACATCCCTTTTGGGAGTGGCTGTTAAAGTCCAAGCTTCTCTGTGCTTCCGACTCACCTTCCTGCTTATGTGCCTGGGAAGCAGCAGATGATTACCCAAGTACTTGTGTTCCTGTCACCCATGTGGGAGACCTGGAGGGAGTTCCGAGCTCTTGGCTGTGGCCTGGCCTAGCCCTGACCATTGTAGGCATTTGGGGAATGAACCAGCAGATCAAAGGTAAGTCCTTTGAACATTTCTGTGTTGGAGTAGGTTGAATGCTGTTCATAGAAAAATAAAATGTTAGTGCTACAAAGAATGCTAGGTATGGAGAAAATGATGCCAAGCAGTGTTCCCAAGTTCATTCAGGTGGGCAGTAGCAAAGATGTGATAAACATTCTTATTTTTTTTTTCTTAAAGATTTATTTATTTATTTGAAAGGCAGAGTTACAGAGAGGCAGAGGCAGAGGCAGAGAGAGGTCTTCCATCTGCTGATTGACTGCTTAGATGGCCACAACGGCTGGAGCTACACCAATCCGAAGCCAGGAGCCAGGAGCTTCCTCTGGGTCTCCCACGTGGGAGCAGGAGCCCAAGGACTTGGGCCATCTTCTACTGCTTTCCCAGGCATAGCAGAGAGCTGGATTGGAAGTGGAGCAGCTAGGACTCAAACTGGCGCCAATAAGGGATGCTGACGCTGCAGGTCTGTGCCACAGCGCTGGTGCCGGTAAACATTCTTGATTTTGTGGCAAGCATTTAGCCTAGTGGTTAAATCTGCATCCCTTATTGGAGTACTTGGGTTTGTTGCCTGGTTCTGTCTACCTACAGCTTCCTACTAGAATAGACCCGGGGAGGTAGTGGTGAAGGCTTAGATGGTTTCGATTCCTGCAACTCATGTGAGAAACACTGATTGAGTTCTCAGCTCCAGCTTCTGTCTGCCCAGTCCCCATTGTTGGGGTCATCAGAGAGTGAGCCAGTGCATGGAGGAGCTCGTTCTTATTCTAATTTTTTCTCTTTCTCTGTCTTGTAAATAAATATATATTAAAAAGCAAAAGCAGCCTGTTAATTCTCTACTCAGTATTTTTCCTTATAGACTGCTATCTTTTAAGAATTGATCATTACTTGAAGAAAGGAAACAAAGAAGGGAGTATATTATGTAACAGATAAAGATGTGTAAATCAAAGCTAATGGAACAATTTTAATTCACATCGGTTTTAATTATATATCTGATGAGGAAAGTTAGCTAGCCATTTGTCCTATCATATTTGCTCTAAATTACATTAACTATTAACATTTAAAAAATTTTAAGCATAAGCATTAAAAAAAAATCCAATAAATTATGTTATCCAGACTGGCTTGAAGTAAAAATTGGTGACCCTGTCTGCCTTCTGATCCTCCTCACTGATAGGGAGGTAATTGTTCTCATGTTTAAAATGGGTGAAGGTATTTGGGAAGAGATTTACTGTGAGATTGACAGTCTTCACATAAGCTATTAAGGTCATACCCAATTTTAATATTCAAGACTACTTCTAAAAGTTCATTGATAATATAATATATAATATAATATATAATAATATAATACACAATAATATAATATACTAGTAAATTTATTTAAATATATTAAAATTTACTATATATGAATGAAATGGTCATTTTTCCATTCAATTATTATTTATAGCTGTTGTCTATATTCCCACTAAACTAAAGTCTTCTTTTTACTGGTTAAATGACTTATTCGGTGAAGTATTAAGCCTTTTTACTGTAACGTCATTCTTTTTTTTTTTTAAACATGAGGCAAACTCATTCTTTTTTTTTTTTTGATGTTTTTAATTAATTAATTAATTTGACAGGTAGCGTTAGAGACAGTGAGAGAGAGAGACAGAGGGAAAGGTCTTCCTTCCATTAGTTCATCCCCCAAATGGCCGCTACGGCTGATGTGCTGCGCTGATCCAAAGCAAGGAGCCAGGTGCTTCTTTCTGGTCTTCCATGCAGGTGCAGGAGCCCAAGTACTTGGGCCTTCCTCCACTGCCCTCCCGGGCCACAGCAGAGAGCTAGACTGGAAGAGGAGCAACAGGGACTAGAACCAGCACCCATATGGGATGCTGGTGCCGCAAACAGAGGATTAACCTAGTGTGCCACTGTGCCAGCCCCCTGTAACATCATTCTAAAATATGTTATCTCAAAAACTAACAGGGGCTGGTGCTGTGGCACAGCAGGTTAAAGCCCTGGCCTGAAGTGCTGGCATCCCATATGGGCCCCAGTTCAAGTCCCAGCTGCTTCTCTCCTGATCCAGCTCTCTGCTATGGCCTGGGAAAGCAGTAGAAGATGACCCATGTCTTTGGGCCCTTGCACCCATGTGGGAGATCTGGAAGAAGCTACTGGCTTCTGATCAGTGCAGCTCTGGCCATTGCAGCCATCTGGGGAGTGAACCAGGAGATGGAAGACCTCTCTCTCTGTCTCTACCTCTCTCTGTAACTCTCTTTCAAATAAGTAAAATAAATCTTAAAATATAAAAGAAAGAAAAAATAACAAAGGGAAAAAGAAAGAGGGTGAGAGGTAGAGAAGTGGAGGGAGGAAGAGAATATTATTATGTTCTTAGAATTGTATCTATAAATCACATTGAATCCATTAAAAACTAATTAAAATTACAGTTTGTTAAAAATAAATAAAATAAAATTATTTTTTAGTTCAGCAAAAAAATAAATAAATAAAATAATTCATGGATCTCTTAAGTTGGGAGTGGTTACCAGAGGCTGGGGGATGCAGGAGAGGAAGGACTGGGAAAAGGTTGATTAATGGGTACTGCTAAATTATACTTAGATAGGAATAAGAAGTTCTGGTGTTCTTTTGTATAGTAGGATATCTATAGATAATGATAATGTACCCCCCCCCTTTTTTTAAAATAAAGCTAGAAGAAAGGATTGAATGTTTTCACCATAAAGAAATAATACATGTTTGAGGAGACAGATAAATTTATCCTGATTGGCAGAGACCATGGTAGTGGAATAGGGAGGGAGTTTATTACTCTAGCCTAGGAATGATAGTTAAAAAAACATGGAGAAAGTGCAGTCTCAGGGAAGAGATAGGGAGAAAACAGCAGAGCAAACTCTGTGCAAGTTAGAAGCACATTGTGTACCTACATGGAGGCTGTGGACGTGTACAACGTGTGTGGATGTGTGTACAACTCCAGACCCCAGCCTCAGCATCAGCTTTGGAGAATGAGATGAGACCACACTGCAGCAGCCAAAGCCACTGGCGAAAGGCTGTGTGAAGAGGCTTGTGTGAGTCCAGCTTGGAGCCTTATGGAGGACAGTATACCTGCCAACCTAGAGGGAAAAAAAGGGAGGCATGTTTCTCTCTCCCTGACCACCCAGCACCAGTGTCCTGTAACTAGCCGAGATGGGGTGGGCACCATTTAGATATATGTGACAGCTATTCCAGCTTATATCCATGCTCCCAGCAACCAGCCCAGAAGAGACACTTGAGTCTGGCTGGGAGAACT